TAGGGTTTTGGGATTTTAAGGTTTAGGACTTTAGGGTTTCGGGGTCTTGCGAAGAAGAGGTTGAGGATTGGGGGGTCTCAGCTCAGGGGTATCTAGTTTTGGGGCAAGGCTTTCAGCCCCGAGCCGAAGCCCTGGGTAGACCCTAAACCCTAAACCCTAAGCCCTAAACATGTTACATGATAAGAAGTCTTTAAGAGCCCAGTCCAGCGGCCGATCATCCCCCGGATCTCCGGTGATCAGGCACACGGAGCGCGGATCCGCAGGGCTTGCACCTTTGGCTTGACTGCACGAAGTTATAACAGTAGAACAGCTGGGCATGTCGTGTAAATCCGATAGCAATAGCAGTTAGCCGCGGATGCTACTGCCAGACCTCTACCACTGAAGCCTACATCTGCCTGGCAGAAATGCCCACAACGTGCTCTATCGTTCAACAAGCATCTGCTTCAACATGCTGAGACACCGTGAAGTTCCGCTGATGTCAGGATGCGATTGTAGAGTGCCACACAAGCTCCGCGGGACGGCAACGGAATCGCGGAGAAACGAAAGCGGCTCACTTTGACGAAACCGCTCACGAAACTAAACTGCTGGCCAGGAGCTTGGTGGAGCTGCGGATGTTTCGCAGCGGCATCTGGGAGGCGGGTGCTATGGTAGACCCAAGGACACTTGGCCGGCCGACTGGCCCCAACATAAACCGAAGCCAAAGGCACGAGCGCATACTGGGGCTGCCATCCGGGCAGAAGTGCAGCTTGCAGGCCGGGCGGTGCTTGTAGCGCACGTGACCACCCAGCCATGTCTCCACAAAGCCCATGCTCTTCCAGAAATCTGCAGACGCAGGGAACATCCCTCATCTCCGATTCTGAGATTCGAAACCCCAGAAAGTTCGTTTCAACAGTGCCTGTAGGCTTGTAGTATGAACTGTGACACTCCACACGACTTTGGCAAACCCTGGCCTGGGCTGCGAGAAAGCTCCGTCAATGCACAGGGTGTTCGTCGGGCAAGATCTCCGACTACCAGCTCAGTGAGCTGAATGCCCGTGAGGACATCCTCCAAGAGACGCGAGGTTGAAAAAATGCAGAGAAACTGACAAAACCTCGGCCCCGAAACCCGCAAGTCTGTAGAGCCCGGCTCACGACTCATGTCCTCCATGCCAGACTGGGAGAAAGGCTTGAGAGCAGATCGTGTGCTGCTTCGAAACGAAGCGCGCTTTTGGGGTGGAAAGGTCCCCTGCTTCAGGGAATGCAAGCCCCGAAGGTCCTGGAGGCTCTCCGTGTGGGCGTAGGTCGCGGCGCGAACCGCGGCCGCCTCGGCCAGGGCCACTTCCCCACAGCGGCCAAGGCTCGCCTGCACCTGCGGGGTCCCATTTTAAGATTTTCGGAGTTCCTGGTCGGCCTTTAGGAGAGTCAGTAGATCCTCTAGCCGTTCTTCTTTAAAGCTTAAAGGAGGAAGAATCGAAATGTAGACTTGTTGGACCCTGAATGAATTCTGCAAAGCTTCCGATGGAATCTTACTCTTGGTTGGGTCTTCCGCTTTTGGAGATGGAAATTGGGTGTTGAACTCTCGCAAGCGCTCGAAGTGGCATGTATGGGGGCATTGCCAGCCTCCTTCGCATCGCTTCTCCACACAGCACGAGCCTCTGCTTGGGGTTCATACTTTAGACTCCAGAGTCTAAATTTACAGAGTTAGGCTGAACCGTCAACCTCGCTTTGATGGGAAAGGAACTAGCCTCCTAAAGAATCAGGCGCATGCCTTCTTCTACATGAACATAGTGTTTGAAACTCAAGACAAAGCTGCCTTCACACACTCTGCCTTTGTTCTTAGTCTCAATTCTTCAGCGTGTAAACAGGATCCTTGCGAGACGGAGCACCGAGTCCTTACCCAACCACTTCAGAAACTCTGGAGGCCCTTGGGGCAAGCGCCAAGTGGGCAATTCCCCGGAGCAGGACCCTGAACTTTAGGCCCTAAAACCCTGGAGCCCCAGACCCTAATGTGTGGATACAACTCTCCTCTCATCATCCTCTCATCATCCTCTCAACTGAGCCTCCCGACCGCCTCGAGTAGGTCGCTTCGGTCTCTGGGCCCCTGGCTCAAAGGCTTTAGGGCTTATGGGGTTTAGGGGTTTAGGGGTTTAGGGGGTTAGGGGTTTAGGGTTTAGGGTTTGCAGTGCGCTGGGTCTTGGTTTAGGGGTCTGTTGTCTCGTGTTGCTGGTGCTATTGCTCCTTTGACCGTTCCTGCTGCTGCATCTACCGTCACTTGCCGCAGCAGAACTGCCATGCCCTGTCTTATGTTTATTGCGACGACCGCAATCACTATCATCTGGTTGCTCTTCGGCTCGTTTGTCTGCAAGAAGCAGGAGCACAAAAGGGTTTATTTGAGGACCTTTCGTGTGAATTTCGAGATGTTCATGAAAGCGTTAGTTGGAAGCACAGGAGAGGGGACACGAGCAGGCGGTTTCCACTGTCCTTCGTGCCACAGAGACCGCCCAGGCAGCTGCAGTCATGGAGAGCAGCTCGCGTGTTATGGCACAAAGCGAAAGTGAGATTTTTCTGCAGAGTCTCCGGCACCTCATGGGCGGCAACTGAGTGCGTTTGGCAAAGTTTCAGGCTTGCCCGTCCGGGTTCTTCAAAATTGACAGCCTGATCTCGGGTTCTCGGCTTCGGAGAGCAGGATTCGATGGCTGAAATGCTCGATTTCATCTTCACCAGAACGCCGAGATCCAGAAGTCTCCAAACTGCAACTGCTCAGCACAACCCCTCCCACCAGCTTCACAACTCCCTCCGAAGATGCGCTCAGAGGCGAGTCCGCGCCTGTTCACGCGGACCTTCGAACATCTTCTCCTCCAAGGTCTCGGCGAGCACCTGGCCCGACGAACTTTGTAATACAGGGCAGAACATACTTGGACACACATGATACGCAGGGACCCGTGCCATAGTGTGGCCACCATGTCGTGCATGCAGATGCCTCTCGTTAGGGTCTCGAGTTTCAAAAACCAGTCAACCTGGCCTTCATGTCCTCCGTGTCGCAAGTCGCAGGACACCTGTGCCGGCTTGACTTCACGACTCGCAACACGGAGCATTTGGAGAGTAGGGCGAGTAGGATGTGAAGTGGGATGAAGTGTGCCTTTCTGGAACGGAAGAGCGAAGTGCCCACACTACAGCTTCAAGATGAACTCCTGATGAATGGGGGCCGGCAGTGCCCTCTCGAAACCACCACACACCTCCCTTCGCCACACTAAGCTCGAAACCTTAAGGGCACTGAGGCTCCCAAGAAGTCTCTCGACCCTCAGCCCTAAAATCCCGGGAAGGAGCCCTCTGACCCTGCGAAGCCCACAGGCACCGACCTACCCAGGTTCTGCTCGCAGACCTGCGCCTCGGTCGACGGGGCTTGCGACCATCAACCTACAATATGCTGCGCTCCCTGCGTGCAGCACGTCCCGTGTCCTGTCCTTATCAGCGCGAGACTCTGAAGGCTTCTCCTTCCCCTCTCTTTGCTTCTCTTCCGGCTCCGGCGCACACGCACCCCGCCCACTGGCCCTTGCCACCTCGTGTGTGCTGCTCCCACTTCAGTGCCCCGTAAGGATTTGAGCTGATCTCTGTCCACGAGTTTGGCTGAAAGGCAACCCCGAAGCTCTTATGACTAAGGCTTTGCCCCGAGAAGCTTTTGGGAAAGGTTGCCGTGCGCGATTGCGACAGCGCTTTTTGAGGCTGACTCTGAGGAAGCTGCTGGACATTCTGAGCATATGTACGACTACTGATACTGCTGCTGATGCTCCCGTTTTGACTCCTCCTCCTGCTGCTGCTGCTGCTGCTGAATCTTGCAGACCATAGATACAGCTCGTGCATACAGACACAGCATATGACTTCTGTTAAGTGCGTATGTGTGTGTGTGTGCGTACGCAGAGTGTTCTACTACCTCTTCGGCCCGTACCGGAACACGGCTGAGCAATGTGCCGATATGCGGGCAACCAGGCGGAAGAAAGGCCATCCACTATCCAGCAAGTCCTGCAGCAGGGAGCAGCTCTGCAGAAATCGCACGCTAGGCAAGCGTAATCCCTGGATGAGATCGCTCTTGTGGATTATCACGGCTATTACCCCTGTTTTGTTCTTGAGATAGAAGTGATTCGCCCTCCTACGCCTACAATCGGAGCTCGCAAGCCGTATCGAACCCTCCTCCACCGTAAACAGAAAAGACCCAGCTTTTTCCCCAAGGCACCGCGCCGCTGAAGCACCGCAAAGAATGGTGTACAGAGCTGAAGATCCCTACAATCGGAGCTCGCAAGCCGTATCGAACCCTCCTCCAGTAACCAGAAAAGACCCAGCTTTTTCCCCAAGGCACCACGCCCCTGAAGGACCCGAAAATCCCTCGCGTCCATCCAGCGCAGCGCAGGCAGCAAGACTCGGAGAGCATGGCTCAAAGTGTCCTTGGCACTGCTGCCCTGTAACCCTAAACCGTAAACCCTAAACCCTAAACCTGGAATTCCTTCTACATTTCCATGGCAGTTCTGCTAGGAGTATGCGTAACAAGGTAAAGTTCGATTTTCTCGTCTAGTGGAGCACGGAACAGAGCTCGCGCCGCCATCGCATGATGTGGGGTGTTTGAGTTGGGCAGCACGACCCCACCAACAACAGAAGAGCGAGGTGCCACGTCTAGAAAACCACTTGTTAACCTCATCGGATAAAAAGCTTCCACTTGTACCTGAAAGGCTCAACCACTCGTCCCAAACCGCTGCGCAACTTCTCTAAAGCTGGATCAAGTCGCGGAAGGGCTCCAGTTGTGGCCGGGCGTTGGCCGGACGAAGCAAGGCACCTTCCGCTGAGGTTGTTGGATCCCTCGGGCCATGAGTGCTGCTTGGGATCGGAACAGGAAACGGCAGCCGCCTCATGGAAGCTGAAGGAGCCCTTTTTCCCCTCTCCCCAACGTACAGCAACATCATGAGAAATTTGTGCGCTGCAGCATTCGATTCAATAGCCAATATTGCTGCCAATGCTGCTGCTGGTATCACTTCGACGACGGCGACGCTGAGAATGAGGACGAGGACCAGGACGAGGGCGACGACAACACCAACAACTACTACAACACCATGATGACTACGACGACAGTGAAGAAGAGGATGATGACTTCCATATCACTTCCTTCGAGCCGTCAGGGCTTCGGGCCAAGCAGGGCACCTCGTGGGCAAGGTAGTCATCGAAGCTCTCCGGCGGACACCTGGCAGCAATGAAAGGACACTGGCAATAATCATCCTGACCATACTCACATCACCGCCGCCAAAACGATGCTACTAAGCCACCAACATATATGACTAGCTAGCAAACCATCACAGATAGAACACTGCCACAATCATAACTCATAACAGGAATGCGCACAGGGGCGCGGGGGTGGTAATGCTGATACAAGCACAGATGGTAACATTAGCAGTGTAGAAACGTCTTTGCTAAGTTTGTCTGCCGGGCCAATGGGTCTCATCTCGAGGACATACAACTATGTCGTAGGGTTTAGGGTTTCGGATTTGGGATGTAGGGTTTAGGGTTTAGGGCATGCGTGCATAAACATGCTTGAGTTTGTGTGTCCACACCACGTCTACTTGCTCATTTGGCTTGCAGCTGTGTGCTTGAATGCATGTGTTGGTGCATGCTGCGGTATCTCACACGTTCGCACACGTGCATGTCAGCACATCAAGGAGCTCAGTCGAGATCTGGGGGCTCTTGAAATTACGCTTCCCTTGTTTTCTGACACTCCCATCCGCATCCCTGATGCCTGAAAGCTTCTTCCCACTTCCAGGTGCCTTTCAGAGGCTGACCTGGACGAGACTCACATGTAGGAACGAAGAAACGGATCGGACTCGACCTTGGACCCACATCGGGAACACTCCACGATATACCAAGATGACCTTTACAGGTGCCCGGTAGGTTCCCGGCGCACAAACATGAGCATCATGAGCTGCCTTCGTTGGCGACACACGCAGAAACAAAGTCTGCTGTGTCAGCAGCGGAGTTAAGCACCGGGAGCCCCGCATGCACACACAGCCCAGCAGGCAGAATGGATGTCCCTGGCGATGCAGTGAAGATGCCGGACAAGATCATGCCACCGAGTCAACGAAAGCCTCCTGCACATGGCCGGCAACCACGGATCGGAAGTCGTGGCCCCAGCAGGACTCAGAAGAACAACAGCTCAGAAGCACCACGAGGCAAAATCTGCGACAACCTTGGGATCCGAGGCCGGCGCTGTGGGAGGCTGCATCTTGCAAGCCCCTGCTTGTGCCTCGATTCAATCTCATTACTTCGCAAGTTCTGCTAGATAAAGTAGTAGGTGTTGGAGCTTCGGGGATTGTGGGCACTGACGTCATGCTACAAGGACAGCTGACGCGGCCTCGGCACAGAGACGGTCGCGCCCAGCCAGAATTCGGGACAAGCCCGTGCCTGCTCAATACGAACACGGACAGGGCAGACAACAATACATGCTTCAAGTGCATGACAACAATCCATCCTTCCATTTTGGCCTCCAGCGCCTTCATTTACACTGACTGGTGATCGGGTTTGTGCGAGCTCCAGACGGCGTTCGAGATGGCAACACAACTCTTGGGCAATCATTCCCTGCACCGTTGCAGTGAGATGTAGGTCGTGAACAATGCCAGGCAGGCATCAGCCGTACATAGCTGTATTGCATGAACACCTTAAACATGACAGCCAGCTTGTGCACTGCCTGAAAGCACCGTTTCAACAACCCATCTTCAACACTTATCGAACGCGTCGTGCTTGGAAGAAGCACTCGGCACACACACACACACACACAAATCCATGACCTGCAAGCTGTTGCTGCCGCCTGCGTCGACGTCTTCGACGAGTGCATTTCGTAGGTCCTTCACAGACCCCGTGTTGCACGACGTGCACATCTAACCGACGAACCTGGTATACACTACGAAGACAGGTCTTATGCAAAGTGGTCGAAGTTTCTGACAGCAGGCAGGCTTGCAAGAGCTTCAGACAGGAAGGGTACTTGTACAAACGACAAGCAGCACAGCACTCAAGTCCAAAGTACCGGTCAGTCGGAGATCCAAGCCCCGCTACATTCACAAGCGTTCCTGTGCCGTGGCAACTGCATTAATTTGTGCCGTTGGGTGCGGGCAGCAGAAGCGACAGCAATAGCAGCAGCAGAATCAGTAGTAGGAGTCGGCCTACTGTCATCGTCACGGAGTTGTTGCCACAAACACGAGCGCTCGTCAGTATTGGTCATGACTTTTCGACTTGATGCTTGACTGTTTGCACTGTTGTTCTTGTTCTGGGATGTGTCTACTATTGGCGTCGTTGGACAGTCAGACTCATTAACATCACCACCAGCCTCTTGATTGTAATCCTCTTGCTCGTATCTTTGATGAACATGACGCGAACACTGGAATTTTCATGGCAAGTATGGCTGCGATTCTTGTGCTTCTCTATGTGCATGTTGCTGATGCTCCCGTTGCAGAGCTCATCTTAGGCACTCTCTGCGTGACCGTGACTGACATTGCACTACTGGAGATTTGTCCTCCTTGAAGCCGAGCCAGTCAAAGCCCAACCAATCCTGCAGACACTTTCTGGTAGGAAACACACATTGCGCGTCAAACTAGAAAACGCATGAAACCTCATCGACGAGGAGAACAACGCTTCTGCATCTTGACGTGCTTCCTTCATCTAGTTTGCTGCAGCCACTACAGCAGCAGCAACATGCAACAGTCCATAGCACGACAAGTAGCTCTAGGAATCCATCATCCTTGCAAGACACTAAGCAAGATGGAAATTACACACAAATCCATATGTAAACACATACATGCAATCATGCATGCATACAAACAACCGTACGTCCATTTACATAGTCATGTACACTGTTCGTCCACACAGGGGTACTCTCCAAAATCGCCATCTGCTATAGATAGATGCATGGACAGATGAACAGATTAGAACCTCAGAAGTCGCAGGATGCGTCAGAAGTATCACAGGAGTATCGACTGCCCCTGCCTTTGCCATGTCGTCCGAAGCCTCGGACGTCGATGCATGATCCGGGGATTGAGGTTTCGGGATTTAGGCTCATACGCTAGGGTTTACCTCGGGACTCTACAGGCCCCATTTGCCATAGTGGAGGTTTCACCATTGTAGAGGCTTCAGATCTTTATCTGTTGTGCCTTGTGCTCTTTGCTGTGCCTCGCAGGCCCAACGGCGCCGCAGACGCGCAGGGCAGCCCTGCGCGGCACTTGCAGTGTTTCATCGAATGCGTAACGAAGCTGCAAACATGTAGCTACAGCTCCGGGTCCAGGACAGAGGACCGTCGCTCAGCTATGAAAGACTTCGTCTGGGAATGCTTGAACTCAATGTGCCCCGTTCGTACGAAACCTTCTTCTCTACACAGGAACCGAGACCCTGTGTGAGGACGGACTCTAAGAAGTCGCCAACACATGATTGGTGAGAGTCTAGGGCACTCATACTGAGGGCCGCCAGCCTCGTTGCCAGCCTGGGTCTTCAGCTCACAGCGCAAGTCCTCACAGTCAGAAAGCCTCCGACGACCCTTTCAAAAGGCTGCGATTTCGGTACAGTATCTGCTTTGGTTTGGACAGAATGAAGATGTCTCTTGGATGTATGTTCCATCGCTTTTCGGGTCTTCGACAAACTCAAGAAACGTCGCGCTTCACATGGTTTTTCGCTACCTGTATGTAGATTCCAAAGCCGTGTTCATCTTATGATTTCAGACCCTACATCAGAGTGCAATCCCTGCAAACCCCAAAAAACTAGGAACCAGCCTTCATCCAACCCTCCACCAAAGTTGCCAACCCCAGAACTCGAATACCTGAACCCTGCACGCGTTAGACCTTCAACCTCGAACCTAAACACCATTGTAGCACCGTTTTTGTTCAACCAAGTTTATGGTAAGGATCCTACAGTATAAAGTTTTGGAGCAAACTGTTTTGGGAGGCTTAGGTGTTGCAAGCTTCGTATTCGGCTCCCCATGTCCCCGCTTTCAGGTTTTTGGAGTATGGCTGCAAGGTTTGTGGGGATGTCGTTCGTGACTACTGCCAGAAGGGACAAGCAGCAGCCTGGGACAGAAGTGCTACCCGGCCAACTGGCACTTGTGCGACATGCTTGTCCTCCCACCTTCTTGTCGATGATCTGGGGTGAGATCAAGGCCTCGAAGACTCGAAGCTGGAGAGGTGACATGAAAAAGTCTCGCACTCCTGCTGGACTTTACTTTCACTGAGACATGGGCAGGCGAGATGCTGAGACAGCACAGGGGACATCGCCAGCCCTCGAGGATTTCCCTGGGGCATTGCAGACTGCTCGCTTACAACTGCGATCCTCCACTCTATGCCCGCAGCACCCTGAAATGAGTTCTGACACCCATGGACATGGCCTATCTCACTGCCTTATCGTGTGTAGATACATATACATATACATATACATATACATATACATATACATATACATAGAGAGAGAGAGAGACAGGTGTGTGTGTGTGTGTGTCTGTACTTGTTTACTTGCATGTACATTATTCATGTAATTACTTGTTTGCTTATTTATTCAACTCTTAAACATGATGTTGCTGTCTGAAAGACGTGTGCAGGCCTCGAGCCCCACTGTGTGCTGTGCAGGCGAAACCAGCTCTCGCCGAACTGGCAGTGCACATCGACAGCGCCATTTCCTTGGCCGAGCCCAGCAGTGTCAAGAGTGCACCGAAACTGCCCCGGGTCCCCGCACTCATCTCGGACAAGGGACCTTTCAAAGGCAAATGATGCATGTCTGTATGGCTGGGCCCTCTTGGTGAATACATGATGATAATACAAGCCTCCGCTGCGCACGAGCAGCGTCCACGACCGGCGGTGGCGACCCAAGTGGCCTCTGGGGTTTAGTCTGGCTCTGGTGCGGGCAGTCGCCCATCTTTCTGAGCATTGAACATCACTGACTGGCCGCTCGGGAGCGCACTGCCTGCCAAGGTCTCGGGACCCTGAACGAAGGCCCGCGCCAGCTCGGACCAGCCTTGGGTGCAGAAAGAGGAGCTATCGCCGCTCTCGTAGGTCCCCCGCCTTCGCCAATCAGAGACCTCCGAAAGTTGGCCAAAGCGGCCTCGGAAGGAGGAACGCATCTTCTTCGGTGGGTCATGCCGACTTCGCCTTTGAAGCCCTGGCCATGGGCCTGACAGTGAAAGGGTAGCTCCCATATGCATCTGTGGTCCTGGCTGTCCCATTCGCCTTCCGACTGGACAGCGCCTCGCACTGCAGGCCCAGCACCGCCCAGTTTGGTAGACCAAGCTGCGCACCCAAAAAACAAAGCTTTGCAGTAGAGCCTGAGGCAAAGAAACAACTTAGCTGTGCACCAACACTGCCGGCGCTCGCTGAAGCTTGTCCTTCCGAGGATTCACAGCCACCTCGGGTCATACCCCAGGAGTGGTATTTCCGATTGCATGGACGGGAATGTCTGATGCCAGCTTCTCCGAGCCTCGCACAAGCAGCGGTGTCCACCTCGGCTGCTCTACAATGGCACTCTGCTTTATGCAACTACCCCCAAGACTGAATAGATCCCCTAGACAACAGGTCGTGAACCTCTGCTGCCTCAAACGGTAGCGGGGAGATCGCCGCAATGCCTCAAAGCAGAGAAACACAACAAAAACCTACTGGTGAAGCCGTGAAAATGAGAGCCTGCCGGCGTACAGCCCAGGTCTTGCAAGCGAGGCATCGCCGGAGCTCCTAGCAGGACTCAGGTCTAAGTTCCCCTAAACCCTAACTAACCCCTAACCCCTAAGCCCTAGTAGGTCTAAGTCTCTAAGTGGCTTTAATTCACCTTCCGGTTTCCACCAACAAGGCAAAAGGCGAAGCAATGGCTTTCCTCTCCTCTCACTTCTCTCTCCCGCCTCCAGACTCGCCGGCCGCGCCCAGCTGCTAAGCCTCCCCAGGCCCGATTCCGGCCATGTTGAAACGACACTTTTTCATAGACACACGTAGACAGCAGACCGGCTTGCAGACAGCGGATCCCTCCTGTCCCAATGCCAGGTGCAGCGGCGCAGTGGCCGGAGGGGCAAGCGCCGCGGCCCTGGTGCACAGAGGCACTGTTCTGCTGAGCATTCCCAGCCCAACTCCCGAACCTGACCTTTGAAACCCCGAAGCTAAGGTAGGCCTACAAGCATTTGAAATCACATCGCAGCGGAACCACTGCAACACAGTTCTACAAGGCCTCGATGCCATGCGAGATCGCCGTATCCCATCCAAACCCTAGTGTGCCCTTTTCGGCGACTGCATCAAATCTGCTTGCTGCCAAGACTGAGACCTCTGTATGTCGCGCATATGCCTTAACTGGCTGGATCTGGCTGGGTACTTACTGCCTCCTTCGCTTACCTGCTGGAGCCTCAGTGGTGCGAGAATGCACCTGGCTCTGATGACTCTAAGTTGACGGCAAGCTTAACCGTGCAATTGCAGGGGCTTGTTTTTGGCCCGCTCATGCCGGCAGTCCATGGCCAGCGCATGATGGCACCTCCGAGTAGTTTCAGGAAGGCAGTCGCCTTACTTCCTCGGCTGCGACCTCGCCGGGTGGGCCTTCGTCTTCGTCTTCTTCGGGACCAACAAATGGCAGCACGGCAAAACCCGTTGCGGACATTTTGAGAGAGGAGGCCGCAGCATAAGCCCAGACTCCACCGACAGCGACAGCGGCGGCAGCACTGAGACCAAGAAGGCAAAGCTGCGTGGCAGATGGCTTGAAGTCTTGGAGCTTCCGGAAGTCCCAAGGACAATCCCTGGCGCCCTCTCGTTGTCCTTCCTCCCCTTCTTCCGATCCAGAAGCTCCTGGAAGGACTTGTAAAGCCAAGGCCAGCAAATGGCGGCTTCCCCGGAGGTCCAAATTACCAAAAAGCAACGTCTTGATCGGGCTCTCGGCCCCTTTCCGACACCTGCAGCCGCAGTCTCTCGTTGCAAACAAAAAACCCTCCGAAAAGGAGTCTGTCGAAGGTGGGGTTTCCGGTTTCGGGTTACGCCCGGGCACTGGTCGACGAAGGTCCTTTCATCCGGGCACCTCAGCACGACCTGGCACTGCTCCACGGTCGCAGCTGGGCACGCTTTGAAGCGGCCGGATTCCCATCTCAGGGTCGGCCCCTGCGGGACGTTTACATCGCGATCTTCCTAGTCTTTTCAGCTCGAGGCACTCTGCTGGGAAGCTGCCAGGGCACGCTGTCAATCAAGATGCCGGCGCTCGGCAGCTTCCAGCCTCGCGCCTCCACATCACCTAAGCATCGCTTCGTGTTTCGGGGTTACCCGGGGTCTGTGAGCCTCTGCTGTCGCTTCGAAGCGTCAAAGCACAAAACGAGCTGCCAAAGGCCGTCCCATTTGCGTCCAGTCTCCCCCAGAGCCTCCAGCATCTCGCGAAAGTCCTGTGCCATCCGGCCGAGAGGCTGACGTTGCAGCTGTTGGCTGGTCGCAAGGCGCGAGAGCCTAAACTTCCATGAAGCCCGGACTGGGGCTTGGGCAACACAGTTGAGGCATGTCGGTCTCGGCCAGGGCTGGAGAATCGAGTTTATCCGTGGGTCTCTGAGACGGAAGAAACATGTGCAATTGAAGACCCTTTTCCATGATGTGTCTGTATCACTGTATCACTGGCCGCGTCAGCTTCGTCGGGGATGCCAACTGCTCAAAACTCATGGAAAAAATCCAAGTATGGCTCCGGACTCTTAGTGCTGGTCACGAGCCAGTGGGTCCTTGTGCTATGACTGGTGCCATTCTTACTTCTTCTTGCCGCCCTTGTCGTCTTCGCCCTTGCGCTCGCAGCTGACCACCTTGCCCAACATCACCACACCGTTGCCATCCATGAAGGCCACCCGGGAGAGGCCCTCGCAATTCTTGAAAGTGTCGCAGACCAACGGCTGCTGGGGCTGGAAGCTGCACTGGGCCATCTCGTTGGACTTCAGGGAATGCGGGTCCTCCATCTTCTTGCCACCGGTCTCCTGAAATCTCAAAGGAAAGGTCTAAGTCTACGAGAGTCTACACCTTAACCGAAGGACTTGAACCTGGGAAGCTCTCCTTGCCCATCTTCCACTTCAGGGCGGAGACGCGGCATGCGGCACGGCCGCAGCGCACAAAACCGATGGGGGAGTAGCCGACCTTGATCTCGTTGGGGATGTCGAGCACCTGGATCTGCGCGTCGAACTCCTTCGTCTGGCCGAGCGTGGTGTCCTTCTTGTACACCATCACATCCCCGGAGCGCGGCATGTTGTTCTTGTCCAAACCCTTGATGTTGAGGCCGACGTTGTCGCCGGGGTTCGCAAAGTCCACACGCTGGTGGTGCATCTCCACGGTGAACACCTTGCCTGTGCAAGGGTTGGAGGCAGTGTGGGTGGGCAGGAAAACCACCTCCTCTCCGGGCTTCACCACTCCCTGCTCCACGCGGCCAGCCAACACATCACCGACACCCTTGATCTTGTAGATACCCGAGATCGGCATCCTCATGGGAGCGCTGACGGGTCGCTCAGGCACACGGCACATCTTGTCCAGGACATCATACACGGTGTCCACATGGATCTTCTCGCTTCCGACCTCCACGTCCTGACCCTTCCACCAGCCCATGTTCTCGGACTTCTTCAGCAAGTTATCACCCATCCAGCCGGAGATCGGCATTACAGGGGTGTTCTTCTCAATGAAGTCCTTCTTCCAGCCAACTTTGACCAACATGCTCTTCATCTCGTTGGCCACCTCATCGTAGCGGGCCTGAGCTGAGGGATCAAAAACAAATCAAACAGTGATTAACAAGATAAACATCCAGACTCGAATCAAAATCAAAACAGGGATCAACAAAAACCCAAGTATAATATGTCCTAGAGGGTATGCCACAGATTAGCAAATTTCGGACCAAAAAAAGGTAGTGCACTGTCTGTCTGTGTGTATGTATGTACGTATGTATGTATGTATGTATGCATGCATGCATGTATGTATGTACGTATGTCTGTATGTATGCATGTATGTATGTACATTATATGTATGTTCCTTCTTTACTTCCTTCCTTCCTTCCTGCCTTCCTGCCTTCCCGCCTTCCTTCCTTCCGGAAAGGAACAGCAATTCGTGGATAATCACGGGCTGGAAGTACTGTAATTTACAGCATTCTGAGTTTTGATATTTGTTGATCCTCACTGGAGTTTTGATGTTGTTCTTGATCCCTGTTCGGCTTGTTTGTTTGATTCCTATCCCGTGGGCCTGCTTGTAGCCGGCAGTGTCGCAGTCCATCTTGTTCACTCCAATGCAAATCTGCTTCACGCCGAGCAGGTTGATCAGCCGGCTGTGCTGACGGGTCTGGCCTTGGATCTCTCCTGCCTTGTGGTTGCCCTTGGCGATGGCCGTGGTGAAGTTTCCATCTGCGGGCACCATGATCAGTGCCACGTCGGCTTGGGAGGCACCGGTGATCATGTTCTTGATGAAGTCGCGATGGCCTACCATGACTTTCGCAGAAGCATGTTGCACAAGATACCTGGAATCGTTGAAAGATGTCTACATACCCTATACTGATGTCACAAGCTAGCTGCACAATTTTGGGGAGCTTGGAACAGAAATCTGTGCATAGTCTGAAGGACAGAACACGGAACACGAACCTGGCGCATCAATGATAGTGTAGTGCCACTTCTCGGTGAAGAACTCCTTGGTGGTGCAGGAGATGGTCACACCACGCTCACGCTCCTCCTTCTGGCGGTCCATGAAGAAGGCAAAGGCGAAGGAGCCCTTGCCCAGACGTTCGGCCTCCTGCTTCAGCTTCTCCAACTCACGCTCTGGCAGCCCACCCAGCTCGAAGATGAGGCGTCCAGTGGTCGTGGACTTGCCGCTGTCGACATGGCCGCAGATGACGATGGACAGGTGCTGCTTCTCCGAGTTGGCCGGCATTGCAAAGAGCGCTGACAGGCTTCAGGGGGGCGCGACTAGCTTCTCAAATACAAGCTTTGAGGAGTGGACCGTGGCGACCAATGACGGCCAAATGGGAATCTGAGACATGGACATAACCTCGGATGCTGGTAAGTGCCGATCAGCCAGCAGACTTTCTCCGATGGTTGCGGGTCTGGCCAGTATGCTGAGCCTTGCAGCACGGGACAAGAGCCGCATTCAAACGAACGACCCCCGGGCTCCCGTTTCCTGGGCCCCCCCTCGAATCTCGCACACTGTGGAGAGAGAAGGAGAAGTGCCCACACCCAGCAGGAAACATGGTCTTGACAATGTCTCTGCTTAAAAATTCGGCCCATATGTATAGCTGGTAATTGCACAGCCATCCGATTAAACATTTTCTCATTAACATCGGTGAAGTCTGATCTTCCTGCCTTTGTACTTCCCCGACAGCAACTCCCAAGTTCGAAACTGCCTTCGGACTTGGAGCGCAAAATAGCACTGCGCCTTTTTGGTCGGGGTTCTTTTCTTCCGGCAGATGCGACACCCGCAGCTGGGGCCTTCTCTTAGAAGGTGTTGATGATCTTGGATTGATTCGGACTGCGCCCGAGGAAGTTGACGCGGCCGGACTCGAGGTTGTAGATCCCTCCCTGGATGTCCACTTCCCCTCTTTGCACCTGCACTCAGGGGCGTAGGGCCTACGGCGTAGCACCCTGACACAAACCACAATGCCAAACCAGCCTTGTCACTGATGAAAGCGGAATTGGTCAGCAGGTAGTCCATGGTGTGGAAGACATTCCTGGCCGCAACGACGAGTCCGTGACCGGAGTGTTGACTCTCGTGCCACTATCGTCCTCCCCCTCTATTTCCCAACCGTCCACCTAGACGCCCCCCGGAAAAAAAAAGACAAAAGCTGCCAACACGTCAAGGAATCATCTGCACGGCCAAGTCAGCAATCTCATCTTCGGTTGCATCCCTTGGTTGGTCCAAACCCTGGCAGGAGCTTCGCTAGAGGGTGTCAGGGTGCTCTTCACATATGCATAGATCATGCTTAATGATTTCTATGCACCCGCCTCAATGCCTAGCCATGCCTAGCCGGATGTGGCAAGAACCGCGAGAAGCCCCAAGCAGTTGAGACCTAACCACCCTGCAGTCGCAGCCAAAGTGGCTCGTCCAATTCTTCAGCTGCACACTGGGCCACAGTGCTCAGGCTTTCGAGCAAAGAGCCCAGCGCTCTGCCGGCCTTGTTCACCTGCAAATCTTGGAAGGCTTGGGGTTGTCAGGTATCTGTTCCAAGCATACATACTCCAGGACAGGAATGTGCATGGCCAAGGATTGCTCCCGAAACCCTTCTCACGCGCCAGACCTTGTTCTGAGTGGAGTTCACATAGGCATGGGTAGCCCCTTTGATGGCCGCACAGCTTGTGTGGCCCAAAATCAAGATCAGCGGTGTCTGCCTGATTCGTGGCTTAAAATGTTTGGTTGCAGTTCTCATTCTCATCGTCATGCTCTACAACCACACGACCGCAAGGAATTCATCCGGGGTACAGCGTGCCAGTACAAAACTCCAGGCTGCCCATTACACTGCCTGCACACTCTGGTCCGATGGGAGGCTTTCGGGGCGGAGCTTTAAGGTTTCAGAGAGCTCGTTGATTGAGATGTGCTCGGCGATTGCTAGAATGCTAGAAACCTACTGAATTTGAGATCTGTCTCTTGTCCGAGAGCGTGCTCAACATCCCCGCTAGGCTCCTTCTGCGTGCGTGAAACTGTTGCCCACATTTCGCAGCACGAAAAGGTCGCCAGGCATTGCATCGAAAATCGCTTCCTGATCAGGGACCGCATTTTCCAATGTAGTCACAGCTGCACATTATAAAAAAGGGGAAAGATCCTGAAGCCCTTCAGCAGCTTCTACCCTTTGCCCGAATTACTGCATCATCAGGAGTTTGGGGCCTTTCTCGGGACACAACCCCGAAATCCCAAACCCTGTCCAGAGCAGCTCGCGAGTCAGCACAGCCGACAATGGCCGAATGGGGCGCCTGACCCTCTCTTGCCAAGGCTTTCCTGGCACCGGACTCACACAGCACTTGCATGATGGGCACACGACAACCGAACACAACAACATGCTCTCCTCCAGCTTCTCCCCCGCTCCCGACCTCAAAGTGTTGCGAAGTTTTGCAGGGTCAGTCCTCATCTCGGCAGTGATGCCCCCAGCCAGCGGCATGCCAACTGCGAAACGCTCATTGCCCGCCTCCCCGGTGCTTTTGGAAGTGGGGCGACTAGCAATAAGAAGAAGAAAGCGAAAGTGTATGAAAGTGTAGCAAGCGAACTGGCGAACACCCAGATAAGTTGTGGGCAGCAGCCGCCGCAATAAGAACAACAGGACATAACAGAAGAACAGAACGACAGCGAAGTAACGGCACGAGCAGCCGCCATCACCAGCAGCAGCACTAGCAGCAGTGGCAGCAGCAACTGCGGCAGCAGGGCAGCGGCAGTACCAACAGGAGTGACGCCTACAACTGTATCCTCTACCAGCACCACCACGGCAGCCGTGATGCCTCGATTACAGTCCACGGTATTTCAGACCCACCACCCACCAACACCACCACCGCCACCACCTACAACTGATACTTAATGCTGCCAGCTACTACTACCTACCACTGCGGGCCTCTCTAGTGCTACCTACATACTGCTCCCGGCACTGTGAGGCGACTACTACAACGACTACTACTGCAGCTACGCCTACTGCTACTGCAACGACTCTTTCACAGCTGGACCCCGCTGTTCGAGCGCCTTCAGTAGCTGAAGGGACTGCTCCGGCAGGATAGCATCGTCTCCTGCTCCAAGTCACAGGGGCATCAACTGACAAGGCGAACACATCTTTCGTCGGTTCTGCGGCTCTTCTTCTCACCATCCCCACGTGCTCTTAGCTCCTGTGGTTCGAATGGGCAATGCCGACATGGAGGGCGGTAGCTGGATGCTCGAGGACAGAAGCTCTTCCTGCTCTGGCGAGCGGCCAAGAAACTCCACCCGTCCCGTGGAGAGATGGTAGATGCCACCCTGGATCATTAGCTCCCCACTGCGCACGAAGCCTCTCAGCGTCTCACCTGGCAACAAACGTCAAACGCAAGCCGAAGAGTGGAGGGAAAGTCAGGGCTGCTGGGGTCTGCAGCCGAGAGCACTGAACTTCAGCAGAAAGTTCATAGAGTGGAAGACGTTCACCCGGACTGCATGCGCCGCAAGCTGATCCAGGTCGGCAAAAGGGCCCAAGTCCTTGCAGGCCTCCTCTGCTACAGAAGTCAAGTCCATTAGGAGGCCTTCCAAAGCAGAGCCGATGGATTTCGAAGTGCTGCCGTACAGGTGTGTGGCGAGAGCACCTCTGACGGCCAGGTCGTCTGTATGTCCCAGCACCAGGATCAGCCGCGTCCCAAGTTTGGAGACGCAGAACTCTAGGCTCCCCACCATGCTGCCCTCCGCATGGGTGCAGGTGTTTCCTGCGTTTCGCAAGACGAACAAATCGCCTGGCATCGCATCGAAGAGGGAGTCAATGGGAGCACGAGAATCAGCACTTCCAAGGATGGCAGCAAAGGGTGCCTGGCCGGCGCTGGCGAGAGCATTCACCATGGAAGAAGTGCTCATCTTGGAGATGGGAGCACCCACCGCGAAGCGTTCGTTCCCTTCTTTCAGAAGGTTCAGCGCCTCCAGTGCCGGCACCCGGTTATCTACACCTGTTCGCACACGACCTCGTGGGCTCGCCGCACTCGAAAGCGCTTCGACGGATGGCGGCATGGCCACCTTGCAGGTCAGCAAGGAAGATTGCCGCGGCGAGCGGCCCATGAATTCGACTACGCCAGTGTCCATATGATAAAGGGCTCCTTGTATCTCCACTTGGCCGCAGGAGACCCGTTCCCTAATCGACTTGCTGAACTTCAACAGGAAGTCGATGGTGTGGAAGACGTTTATCCTAACGGCATGCGCCGCAACATCTTCCTGGGCCGCATGAGGACCCATGTCATAGGCCGCTTGTTCAGCCACGACACTCAGGTCATAGAGCAGACCATCCAGTGCTGAACGGGTCGGGCTCGGATTCCCGCGACTGTTGTTGAAATAGGTGCTGGTCGCCCCATAAATCGAAGCACAGGTCGTGTGACCCAGAACTAAAACCATGCGAGTGCCCAGGCCACCTGTGCAGAACTCCAAGCTCCCCACCATGCTGCCCTCTGCATGGGTACAGGTGTTCCCTGCATTCCGCAGGGCAAAGATGTCCCCAGGCATGCTGTCGAAAATTGTCCTCAGATTCTGCTCTTCGTCTAAGAACCCACCGCAAAAACTCCCGTGTACCAAAAGCTTCCACTTAAGGATCCATCAAGCAGAACCTAAGAACTCACATACACCCCCCCCCCATGCCTATACCAGAAGCCCCAACCCCCGGAACTGCAAAACGCGAACCCCCCTAGGACCCCAAGCCCTCAACTCTTAACCCTAAACCTTAAGCCCTATAAACCCTAAACCCATATAAGCCCTATAAACCCTAGACCCTAAACCCTATAAGCCCTATAAACCCTAAACCCTGATACTGAAAATCCCCTTCTTTCCCAGGTTTCTCCAGGGGCACTCTGGAGTCGGCACAGCCAATGATCGCTGTGTGGGGTGCCTGGCCTGCGTATGTAGGGAAGAGAAGCGACACGAGATTCTCCTGTGTGTTTCTGAAAGATCTGGGTTCTATCCCTCTTCTGTTCTGTGTTGGCTCCGTTGTAATGCATGATTCAGCTTGATATGGATGCTTTCGCCACTCGCTCCGAGCTCAAGACCTCGGTCACCTCGGTGCTTCAGGCTTAAGCTCCTCCCTGGGTCCCTACCCGGAGATGCCCCCCTCTCGGGCTTCAAGGGTCCGGGAGGCGAGGGTTTCGGGGAGCTCGGCGCGCATGGCCTTTCTCCACCAACTGCCGGAGCTGAGACTCATCCGTGCAGGAGCCAAAGGCGCGGCCCGCGAGGAAGCGTTCGTTGCCTGGCGTATGTGTTTGAGAGGGTTTGCTTCCGGGGCTTCGTGGTCGGCCCTGTGCTTGGAGCCTCAATGCCGTAAAGCCAATCCATTGACCGCGCAAAAAAAAAACGGGACATCACGACATCCAATACACCTGACCCCAAGAATGATAGGGCGCATGGAGCAGAAGCAAGAAGGTCCAGAGTACTAGTGCTGCCTCGGCCGTCGAGATCATCATCCAAATCTACATCAAAGTCAGAATTAGTACAAAAACGTCATCACCATCATCATCATCATCACCATCATCATCACCATCATCATCATCATCATCACCATCATCATCTTCGTCATCTTCGTCGAAATCACCATCATGCATCATCACCATCATCATCATGGCACCACATTTATCATCTGCACCGTCGCTTCCACCATCTCTACCATCATCATCGTAGCCATCTCTACCACCATCACCGGCACCGTCACATTCATCTTCATCACCATCATCTGCGTTGTTTGCACAATGCCTGAACCTCTCGAGTTACTTGAGCTGCTGCTGGTATCAAGACTCGCATTAGCAATATGATCAGAGAACGCCAATCCAGGACCAGCAATGACTGCTGCTGCAGTCTGCGGTTGCGCTTGGGGCGCAATGGGCTAGTACGACTCAGAACCCGCTTCCTCCCAGCTTGTCGGCATCACTTTTACTATCCGTACAACTGCCATCCTCGCATCGCCTCTATTGAGATTACTCATGCTTCTTCTCCTGCTCGAAATTGCACTTACGAAGGTGATGGCGATGATGATCACTGCACTTTCCAGACAATCCCACTCGTCCTTCGCCCCTAAACCCGGGCGGCCCAAACCGAAACCCCAACTCCTCAACACCAAACCCTGAACTCCTAAACCCCTAAAGCCCAAAAAGACCTTATAAACCCCAAAAGCCCTGAACCCCTAAACCCTAAACCCTAAACCTCTAAACCCTAAACCCTGAACCCCAAAGCGGGC